GCTGAATATCTGAATTTAAGGGAAATTTATAGGTGAGTATCCTGAGAAAGGGAATTACTTTAATTGTAAAACACTTCTTCTAAAAAGAACTAAGGTTTCTTCCCGAGAGGATGGATTTCCACTTGGCTTGATCCAAGTTTATGCAATTTGCTATGTTAGGTACCACGGCCCAAAATTACTTGACTTGGAAGAATTATTCATTTGGTCTATTCAGTTACCTATGTAATAAGCAAGAATAAGCTTTCTTTTGTCCTTAACTGCTAAGTTTTAATGCTAAATGCAGTTTTACTTTGAAAAGTAGAAGTGACAAGGGATGTATTCTATTCACTTGTACTTTCTTAAAATTGTTTAATGGCACGGTGGCTCAGTGACTAGCACTGCTGCCTCACAGCGCCAGGGAACCGAGTTCGATTCCACCCTCCGGCGACTGTGTGGAGTTTGCACATTGTCCCCCTGTCTACGTGGGTTTCCTCCCACAGTCTAAAAGGTGTGCAGGCTAGGTGGATTGGCCATGCTAAATTATCCATAGTGTTCAGGGAAGTGTAGATTAGGTGTGTTACAGGGGGATGAGTCTGGGTGGGGTGTTCTGAGTCAGTGTGGACTTGTTGGGCCGAAGGGCATGTTTCCACACTGTAGGGATTCTATGATGAACTGAATTAAGTTAAAGGAACAGTGCAAGGTTTGATTTTCCTCTACTCATAAATAAAGACAGTAGCCTGTCCTTTTAATATTTGCTGGTTTGGCAGGATCCAGTAAATATAATTTAAACTCTGACTAATCTAAAAGAAAATCCATGGGGGTGAAGATTTGAAGAAATAGTTAATGGATGGCTAATCTTATGTCATCCTTTTAAATCAAGTGTATTGCACAATGTCAAAATTACCCATGTAGAGTTATGACCCACTGTTAGCTTCAAGTGAATTGGATAAAGAATGGGGAATAATTGGTTCAGAATACATAGATAAAATTCAGTCCAAATGTTAAAAGTAATATATTGCATTGTTATATGAGATAACTTATTATTTATGGTTTGCTTGCAAATCTTCCCACTAATTTGGGAACAGTATTTTATTATAAATAAATAACATACAGATCTGAGGATCTACTGATTTAATCAGTGGGAGATTTAGAAATATTGGTTCACAAAGATTTCTGAAATTTCTAGCTCATGAATCATAGAATGTTAAAATGCAAGTACAGAATGTCAGTATGTTGGCCTTTATTACAAATAGACTGCTGTATTAGAGGAAAGTCTTCCTATTATTGTGTAAAGCCTTTGTGAGACCTTATGTGTAGTACGGTGTACAGTTTTGGTCTCCTAATATAAGAAAGGATAAACTTGGCTCAGAAGGAATACAACAAAAATTCATTAGACATTACTGAATTGAGGGATTGTTCTATGAGGAGTGATTAAGTAGATTTGGCCTATATTCCCCAGATTCTAGAAGAATAAGATGTGATCTAATTGAAACATATGTAATTCTCAAGGGATTTAGGAATTTAGAGTTATAATAGATGCTGGGAAAATAGAGTAGAGAACTTGGGGTCACAGTCTTAGAATAAGGGTTCAGCCATTTAAGATTAACATAATGTTCAATTTGTTCACTTAAATGGTTGTGAAACTTCAGAATTCCCCAGTTGAGGAAGTTGTAGATGCTGAACTTTTGAATATATTTCATTCAGAGCGACAGATCTTGAATACAAATGGAAATGAGTAGGTGGAGTATTGGAAATATCATGGACTAGTAATCCCAATGTCTGGGCTATTTCAGTATCCTGAAGATGTGGGTTCAGATCCCACTGCGGAAAGTAGTGGAATTTGAATTCTATGAATAAATAGAAGATAAGTAGGAGTTGACCATTTGGCCTTCCAACTCTGGTTATCGACTCTCAGGTCATCGGGAACATCATCCCTGCATTTACCTGTCTAGTCGTGTTATAATTTTAACGGTTTCTATGAGATCTCCCTTCAATCTTCTGAATTACAGTGAACATAGTTCTAGTGCCTCCTCCTATGTCAGTTCTGCCATCTAGCAATCAGTCTGGTAAAAAAAATTATTGCATTCCCTCCATAACTAGAACAGCTTTCCTCAGAAAAAGAGACCAAAACTGCACAAAATAACCCAAATGTGGTCTCACCAAGTCCCTGTGCAATTGCAGCAAGACATCTCTGCTCCTGTACTCAAATCTTATCACAATGAATACAAACGTAGCATTTGTTGTCTTCACCACCTGGTTTACCTGCTTGCTTACTTTCAGTGACTGGTGTATGAGGACAGTCAGGTCTCGTTGCACCATCCCCTTTCCAAATCTATTGCCATTCAGATAATCTGCCCACCTGTTTTTACTGCCAAAGTGGATAACTTCATTTATCCACATTATGCTTCATCTGCCATGCATTTGCCCATTCGCTGAACATGTCTAAAACACACTGAATTATCCCTGTATCTTCTTCACAGTTCACTCTCTCACCAAGCTTCATGTTGTTTGCAAACTTGGAGATATTACATTTAGTTCCCTCTTCTAAATCATTAGTGCATATTGTAAAGCTAGTCTCAGTAGTAACCATGAAACTATAATCAATTGTTGTAAAATGTTTTCCATTCTACTAATGTCCTTTAGAGAAGGAAATCTGCCTGGTCTGGCTTACATATGACTCACAGCAATGTGATTGACTCTTCACTGACCTCTGAAATAGCCCAGCAAACCAGTCAGTTCAAGGGCCAGTTAGAGATCATGAAACGCTGGTCCTGCTGGTGATGCTCATATCCTATACAAAAATAAGGGAAGAAGGTGTATCTGAAATGGAAGAGCAGTCAGGTCTTTTTTTTATTGAATAGTGGTGGGGGCTTTTTCTGCTCCTGTTTCTTATGTTCCAGTAATAATTTTTGCCAGACTACTTTGAAAGCTGAGAATTAAGAGAGATGGTATGCAAGATATGCTAATTGAAGCATGGTGTTTAGCAATTCTGGGGTAGGGCGTTTTGCCATTCTAGTGAAGATAAATTTAAAGTTTACCTTAACCTATGGTTGCATGTGAAAATTGGATCATGTGTAGATTCTTGAGGATAGATTTAAACTCCTTGCAGGAAGCTAGGCTGTGTGGTTTAATGCTGCAATTTGAGCTAACAACACAATAAATTATAACTGCCAGAATTCAACTCAACTGAATGGGTTCTCATTTTTTGGTGCAAAGTGGCAGCTGGAAGATGTTGACTACAACAAGGCTACAACTCCAGAACATTATACCTGCAGCTCACTGCCCTACTAAGGAGAACGGTGCAATTTTAGCTACACCACTTTTGTCTTCACCAATCAGGCAGAATTAAACATACCCTGCTGGTGCCTGTAGACATTGTAGGAGCCAGGAATGAGCTTGACTGTTTAAGTTCTTAGGGGGTTGGGGAAAGGAGGAATCCATATCTGGCAGTGATTGTCATCTCTGCATATATTGACTTTGGTGTTTTGTAATTTGTTCATATAATTTAATCTTACGGTCTTGAAAGAACTTCGGGAAACGCCCAAATCATGGTAAAAAAAAATTGTCATTCTGACTGTCCCCAGGTTGCATTGTCTGAATTGCATGAATTAAGTGTAATTGCAATAATTTTGAAAGGTGTTGGCCCTCAGGCCTGTCCTCCATTGAATAATATCATAGCTATTCTTCTATGTCAGATAGACCTTCCTGCACTGTCCCCATATCTTTTGATTTTGTTAGAATCAAAATTCCTGCTGCTATATGACCTGAAAATACTCAACAGCTGAGCATCCACAGCTCTAGTGGAGAACCCCAAAGATTCACAGCCTTTTCTGTGAAGTAATGTCCCCTCTGCAAAGCCCTCGATATTTTTTTGAAAACAAGTAGGAAATCAGTACAGCCCGTAAGTTGATATCACATGCTATTATTAATTAAAGTAAGTGGTGCTCATCCTTTCAAAATTTATCATCCTAATGGTTAAATAATACAATACACGTCAAAAACAAATTTCTAAATGGTACTGTTGAGCAGTAGGCATTGATTCATTGAGAGTGGCTGGAGACAAAGAGCTCGAATCTACTCACGTAGTGGAGACAAACCACTGCTTCCTAGGATACAGGTGCGACCACTGGACATGCCAGAAGATCTTGAATCCGTGCTGTCCTAAAATTGCATAGCTCATCTGGCTAGTATAAGACATGGATCTCACGTTTGAGCAACCTGTATGAAGGTACCTTTTTATTTCTCATCTGCAAACAACATGAAGCTACAGGGTGTACTGGTGTTATTTAAAGGGCCAGGTACCGAATTCCATGGATTAAAGTCCTGGAACCTTCTCCCTAATAACTTTGGGGTCTGCCTACAGTGAATGGACTTCAACAATTCAAGAACGCAGCTCACCACCACTTTCTAAAGAGCAACTATGGATGGGCAGTAAGTAAATAAATGCCATCTAGTGGCACCCATATATCATTAATGAAATATTTTAAATGGCAAGTAAAGTAACTTCTGCTGTTGTTGCATTCTGACCGGTCAGGGTGTTGGGAGTTGGGAGCTGTGGGGAGACAAGTAAGTAACTTGTCCACACAAGGGTTATAACAAGCATAGAAACAGCAAGGACAGTGCTCTGGGTCTGCAGGATGACCATGTGATACAGGAGGAGCTGCAATTAGAGGCTCAAAATCTGTAAAATGGCCTCTGCCAAGTTGGAATCAGGCTCCTCCATGGTCCCTGACTGAGGCAGATTGGCTGGCTGCCAGACAACAATGTAGGTATCATCTCTGTGCATGCTCATCAACATTCTCTCGTATGCTAATAGTATGTTAATCTGGCAGAACACCTCTGTAACACCATTCTTTAATGAGCTGACAAAGTATGCCATCCTTTAGCCTGTCTGCAAGCTAGTGGAGCTCATGATTCACTCATGCTGATCTCAACTCTGTACGTGCTCTGCGATACATGCAGTGCCAATATCTGAGCTGATAGTTGTGAATGCCATATAATAATGGGTTTCCTTATTATTGTTACACTGTTGCTACCTCTGATCTTCCTGGGTCTTCTGTCACTGTGCAATTCTTGGGTGTCTGAAAGCTGAAATTAGGCTGGGAGGTCAGAGGTACATAGTCACGCACATCATCACCAAGTTGCATCATGCCTGTTAGCGTGGTGAGATTGAGCTGATAGCTAAGAACGGGCATAAAGCAGAAGTGTTATTATTCTCAATGTTCTCTGGCCCTCTCACAGCTTTATTCAGGAGAGGCTCAGAATGTCAGACATTATATAACACTGTTCTTGGATGATGCCCCCCATGTGTTATAAGACCAGCAGATATAAAATAGGCACACTGTATCATAAAGACCCATGGCAAAAACTTGTGATCCTGAGTCATTCTCATCTTCAAACTAAGGAGCAGCCAACAATAACACATGATATGCCTGTCATAGGTGCACAGTTGGAGGTGTTTGGAGCCAGTGAGAGGTAAGTGGAAGGCTGGAAGTACTGGTAGGTTTATAAGGTTGTCTGATAATAAGTGTGAGTCATGAGTGCCAGGATATGCTGCTGGGTGAGTGGGATTTTATGCTGCATTGAGCAGCATGAGAAGCTGGTATGATGGAAAGATGCAGTCACTGATGTTGATCGTTAGATGTCTTGTGGCACTGTGGCCAGGTCTTTTGGTCCAGACTCCAGAGATTGGCCTCCTTGGCTACCTACTCCCATTCCCTTGCAATGGTGGTCTTTTAAGGCCTCTTTGCTCTTTCACACCCCACAGAAACATTGCATGTCTTTCTTTTCTATTTTCTGTGTAACATGTCACTCTGAAACCCTCTCCATGTTCTGTTGTTCAATTTGTTGTAAGTTCAAGTACAGCAATATTGTCCAGTGTAAATTCCCTTTAAAAGAGACTGCCTGCTTATAAGAAGAGCAGGTTAGTAGAACCATGAGGACTGCAAACAGTGCCCCCTGCCCCACGTAGGCACCGTGGAGGAATAAGAAACACACGCACTGCCCAGACAAACATTACAAATCATGCAGATGAGATAAATAAACCACTTTGATGTGTTGCCCATCTTTATCTGATTTTGCAACACCCAAAGCAGGGCTATGTAATTTCCAGTCCAAAATCTAATGTGTTTATATATCTGAAGCTCAATGACAAAGTCTTAAATATAACCACTATGTTGGTTATGTGTCATTAACATTAATGTTTCCCAATGCTGACTACATTTACGTGGAAGTATTTTGATCTGGAAAGCACCCTGATGATATATCATCACCATCTTGTTCATCATATTATCATCTATAAATCATGTATGATCATTGAGTTCTGTTTCTGCTGTTACCATTGAGCATTATGAATGCAGTATTAAGCTGTACTGCCACTTTACTATTTGATTAAAATCAGTTAAGCTGAGGCCAACTAATTCTTTTCGGGTTCCTAGACTAATTGTATGGGATCATTCAATGTTTGGGATTTGTAAACCTTAATACTGTTCAAAAGATGCCTCTCTCCAAATAAGTGAGCAAATCATTCCTCTATTCCAGCAAATATATCAGATTGATTTTTTAAAAAATCACAAATGAGGGCACCACTGGCATTTATTCCTAATTACCCAGAGAGCAGTTAAGGGTCAAGCACATTGCTGTGGGTCTGGGGTCACACGTAGGCCAGACCAGGTAAGGATAGCAGTTTCCTTTCCTAAAAGGCATTAGAGAACCAAATGGGATTTTCCTCTAACAATCAGTTCTTGGATTCAGATTCCACCACCTGCTTGGAGGGATTTGAAACCAGGTGCCCAGAACAGTGCCTGGCTCGATAATACCACAAAGTACCTCTCCTATTAATGTGTTATGGTGAGAAAGGCTGAAGAAAAATGAGGCAGCCGGTTTCACCACTTTTTATTTTGTTTTACGTTTTTGTTCTGATTAATGTTACTATTTTGTCGCAAATAAAGAGTGAAAATAGAACTCCTGGACACTAGAATAGTGTTGGCGTCCAAAATATTTTCTTTCAAAGAACATTAGCAACTTGGCAAGCCACTATCTTTGGCATTTTACTAGGTTTGTATGCTAAGGAACATACAGTTTGTCTGATGCTGTGACAAGTTTATTCCATCATTGATCACCAAGGCTTTAATGACTGACTGACTGTATTTCTTTAAATAGAAAGTATTGTGCAAAACTAAAATGAAGCATCACACTTTTACAGGATGACATTCTAGTCATCAATAAGAAAGTTATGAAGCTCCGTGTCAAAAAAAAAGTCTTTTTAGCTATTTGGGCTGATCTTGTTTGAACACTCCTTTAGAAGAATCTCAACATTGTTGTAGCTCTGCTAATTTGAACTGCACATCCTCCAATCTTTAACGTTATTCATTTCAGGCTACAGCAGCCACATCAACACAATAGAGGCTGACAACATGATCCGTGCACTCAGTTACATACCAGATGGTTTAATGACTTGGGAAAATGTAAAACCATTTTCTCAGAAATTGATTAGTCTGCCTGAAGGTACTGGTATAAAAAATCTGAGAAATCACAATATTTTGCCAGTGAGTTAGAGTTCTTGGCACTCTGCTGATGTCTCAACTGTGTTTCTGGGCATAAGATCAAATGTGTAAAGTAGAAAGGAACAGTTAGTTTTAGTTGCATAATATAGCATTTTTGCAGAGAATAAATAGTCCAAGTTTAATCATTAGAGAAAAAAAACTTTTCAAGAACTATTGCAGAATGGTAGAAATAAACTAGAGTTGTTATTGAAGTAGTGAACCATATTTATGAGTGTTAGTTTATAGAATGCCCAAAAAACCTCTAGCTCTGACAACAATTGCGTTCCAAAATTTCTTAATTAATACTTTTATGACAGTTTTTTCTCGAGGTTTATTAAATGAATTATTACATTTTACAAAACCATGATTTCACAGCTGCAAAAACAAAACTACTGGCAAGAGTTAGTTGGCTTTTAAATGACGAATTCCACTTACCACCCTGCTAACTGAAGCCAAGTATGCAAACAAATGAGGCCAAAGCTAGAAAACTAAATCCAATTTTTATTTACATTCCTTTACTGTGATTTCTTTTTGTTGTTAAACATTTTCTCCTATTCCTTCTACCAATTTGCTACTGCCACTTCACTATTTGACA